GTTGAATTAAATGTAAACCTTGCCAAAGGGACAGAGCTAAACGCAACAAATACATAAAATTATCAGACTTTGTTCAAACGGACTGAGATATGACATTTTTTAACGTTGCGCATGATCTTACTTATCAGTCAGTCAGGTAGTCAGTCAGTCAGGTAGTCAGCCAGTCAGGTAGTCAGTCAGTCAGTCAGGTAGTCAGTCAGTCAGTCAGTTCAGCAGTCAATCAGCCAGTTAGTCACTCAAATTTTCTTAAGTGAACCCAAAGGCACACAAAAAGGTGTCAAAACCTAGATATAACAAATGATGAACATATTTTACAGTCAGCTATCGGGCTGATGACGCATACTCGCATCCTTGAGCATCACCGCATTTCTGGCAGATTATGGCAAGACAACGCAGAGCATTACGCTGACCCAGTCATTTGCAAGTCAGTGATTTACTACCCATTTCTCGGCTGGTTGCGACAATGCAGCGTTGGGTAAATTCCTTGCTCAAGGGAGTTCGCAGTTAAAGAAAAGACTGTTCCCCCTCCTTTCGCCAGAATCTAATCCGCATCGCCAGAGTCTGAAGTCGACCTCTGAAGCAGAATGCTACCGCGCGCCAAATTATGTTCAACTTTGGCGTCGTCGAAAGGATGAAGACATGAAAGAAGAAGCTTCAGCAACGCTATGAACACAGATTTAAGAGGATATGACCATTTGGGGGGGGAGTGTTTTTCCTTTCCATTTTCTGATATCACCCATAGACAGCCAGGCGTGCCTCTGGTTGTTCTTACCAGCGAACCATCGTTCTTCGATCAGAGAGTGGAAGCGACAATGGAAAATTTTCCCTATGGTTTCTCCAAGTAACATAGACAGCAAACCCAAACCTGGCCTTGCGCATGGCTCTTTAGCCAGAATTCTTTTCTCCTAAGCATCTGTCACCGGGAAAAAAGAGGTTCGTCTGGATACCAGTGCAGCATCAGCAGTTCGCTTCAGGATGCATGCCGCGCCTTCCCGGTTAAGGAAAGTGTACCTCCGCTATTTTGCCATGATATACACGCGATCTTTTACCTCTGCCGTCACCCATCTGCCGTGTCGTCGACGTCGAAGCCGGATTAGTGAAAAGCAGTATTAAGAAACGAACTGCAAAACGAAACTGCAGCAATAAGCAGTCTATTTAAGCCTAAGCCTACATTTTTGAGCAATATCTGGTAGGATAGAGACAACGCAGACGCTGGTCACCATCTGCTGACGTCGTACGACGAAAACGCTGCTGCGTCACATATAACAATGCAAAACAAACAGGAGGAACAGTCTGGCTGCTGACTGGCAGAAGACTTTTCCAGTGAAGCCGAAGAAATTCAGGCATTCATGCTGCGTATTCCTTACCATCGGAAACCCTTCCTCAAACGCTCGAACAGGTCGTAAAATACATAATACAGCTAACAAACTATACACAGTCATCATTGCTAGATTCCAGTACTTTAGACAAAAAAGCGAACCTCTACCTCGAATTTACGTTCGAACCTTTACCTTTAAGAACTTTAAACGAAAACTGCTGAGTGCGAATTCGACGCGTCGCTTAAGTTGTTGCGAACGAAACCAGCTGGTGGCAGCTAGTACAGCGAGTGACTGTGCTCGGAACAAGTAGGCAACTCGAGACAAGTAACCATGCCGATCCGTAGTGACAGACTGCAGCTACAAGTCACGATGAAAGAAATCCGACCGTACAGGCCGCGCGCGAGCAATGACAAAATGACGCAAGAAACGGAATGATCGACGAATCGAGTCACGAGCATGCGGCTACATTGTCGTACCTTAGGTACGGTGAAGTCGATTCAAAACCAGCCTGATGTATTAAGCATCATTCGTCATCGTTTCGCCTAGTACACGCTTTTCATATCTTTCCCACGTACTTGTGTGGCGCGGTGCTACACTTTCAGAGGTCGGCTCCGAACTCCGCAGGTGCCGCATCTGAATCAAGAGAATGGACAATCGTAACCGCGAATTTTCTTGAACAAAGAATTTAGCTGACACTGTTTTGGGTATCAAGTCGCTGGTATGCGAACAACAAGAATGGGCCTGGTCTACCGCCAGACTGACTGGGATGAGCGCCTCGTATGGCTGCAATATGCCTTGACCCTAATTAATGAGCAAAAGGAGAAAAAAAGCGTCTGCAGTTGTACTTACGACCTCTATGGAAAAAAAATTTTTTAGCTGTTAAGATGTCCGTCTCCCGTACACTTCCATGGTCGTTGACACAAACGAGCTCTCTTCTCATAAAGCTTATGGCGCGCCGTTAATCCCCGCTGCGGTACCGTCAACTACGAATGCTATATCGGCTTCTGAAACAATAGCCACAGTTTGGCTGCGCAGCCCCTTCTACTTTCGCATGTAATGGTACTCATTTACAGATCTCGGAAGGATGAGAGACGACCTGCCCAGGCGGAATTCGAAGCCGTCATCTTTCGATCCGATCTTCGCTGTACAGACAAAGCTGCCATGGCCCGGTCCCAAAGACAGACCATCGACTGTCCTATTTACGGTTAACGAATATGACGAAGTCTGGCATGCTTCGTGAATTGCCAAAGAATCACAAAATTCAGAGTTCTGAAACACTTTAAGAATTCGTTTTCCCTTACAGATAATAATGACAATAAACACAGTCGATATGAAGCCCATTTCTAAGTACATCTTTAGAAAGAGTCGATCTGTAATAACACAACAGTTCATCAGGCGGCGCAAAAAAGCAGAGAAATGTAAAAACTGACACATAATCCGGCAAGAAAAGGAAAACGGCAAACTGAGTAACCGTCTATGATGTCGATGACCCGCATATTTTGATCACGACTGCTATTTATCGCAACTTACATTAGCAAAACTTGCAGTCGGAGTTGAACTTCAATTCGACAATTCAGTTAAGAGCATTGAATTTGCTCTAAAACAACGTCTATTCCCACAGCAAGGCAAGCAAAACGGCGAGTTTCAGCTTTACCAATGTGGTCTTAGAGGCGTTATAACAATCGAACAGGAAAGGAAAACAACATCTACCTTGGCACGTAACATTCCTCGGCGTCCAAGCACTTTTCCACTCGGTACATCGTCAGTCCTTGTGGCGCCTAGTTCGACACATGGAATATCGCAGATCATCGGTTCACTGAAAAGACTGTACGACGGAGCTAAAGGAGTCATCAGAAGAGAAGAACCGTTGCAGGACTGGTTTAGCATCAACAGTAGATTGTATCTAGGAGAGGTGCTTTCATCTCAACATTATTCAACATGGTGGTGTATTAAAGGACGCCCAGGAGCGTCGTCCCCAACAACAACGAGAGATTTACTATCAGACGACGACTCAGCCGAAGGTACCCAGCAGTAAGCATCACAGATCTCCTGTTCGCTGACGATACTGTGCTGTTCAGCGCCAGTGGCTTACGGACACTAACTCGACAAGTGTGCAAGACCTTGACGATAGGCCTAAAAGTTAAACCCACTAAAACGAAGATCATGCGTGTACCCGACTCGATTAACGACCCAAAGATCCAGTGGAGTGGAACGACCATCGAGGAGGTCTAAAACTTTAAGTACTTCGACTCTGTACTGACAAGAGATGGAAGCTGCGATATGGAAGTGGAGTAGCGCTTAGGACTGGCATCTGTGAACTTCTGGCAATTTTCTAAAGTATGGCAAGACCGATATATCCGGACAGCAACAAAAATTACCATACTGAAAGCCGTCGTTTTGTCAATCCTGATGAAACATCACCCCTTTGAAGCGTCATGAAACGGTGCTGGAAACTTTTCAGAAATCAGGATCTTGGAGACGAACGGCTTGAGAATGCTGTCTGAAGAAATCAGGGACCGGCGTCTGTCGTGGTTTGACAGTACCACGCGAAGAAAGAATGAAAACTCATCAAAAGCCATTCTCCTCTGGGCGACAAAAAAAACAGCCAAAGGCGCGTCGGAGGTCAACATGGCACCCTGAAAAAGCTGCTAGTGGCAGATTTGCTTGTGTCGAGATATAACCTTTTCCGCAGCAACCAACATCGCTTGAATGACTCTGAGAAACCAAAGCGTCAAGAAATCATTAGACTGGGTATTCGGCCATTGATCCAGATACCCAGATCACAATGACAACAACTTGTAGATGTAGGACGTAATCCGGCGGATGAACATATTTTGCTGCTTATGCGGTACCATCGCCTAAAACATCGTTCGTAATGAGCGCGAGGTAACAGCGCGAACACAATAAAGCGAGATTCATATGGTAATGCAGCCGCTCAAATAACATGGAGCAATTGTTTGATCGAATGTTCCCACCTCTAGGGAACCAGGAGCATGGGAACCGTGCAATACAGCGTGAAATCTGGTCTTGGATGAGTTTTACGCTCTCACACCACACTTTTACTTTCACTTTCCACGACCGCTACTCCTTTCAGGTCGCGGAAGGAGACACGACAGACACTGCTTTCAACATTCCCGATCCCGTGCCAGAGTCAAAGCTTCGGCAGAAGACAACGGCAGACGTAAGCCGATTCGTTCAATTCGCTTGAACTAGGTTAATCTCGGTCGACCCTCGGTCTTCTGCCCATCAGTTGGGAAAACAGTATTTGCTTCTCCTTCCGTTCTGGAAGCATTCGCAACATGTGCCCAAATCATCGCACTGTGACTTCTCAATCTGAAGCAGCAGCGGTTGTACACAAAAGCTCCCTCCGTTCTGAGCACTCCGGATGGCCGAGACCAGAGATTCACATCAGAAAGACAATTTCGGCCGCTTCTAGCCAGGATCGAAGTTTTCAGTGAGAGACCACGATTAGCGAAAGTAGGCAAGCATGAGGATGAAGATCGACTTCTTGCTTTACAGATTCAGGTCTGCTTTAGTCACAACGGTTTGGGCCAGCTCAAGCAGAACGCCGTTGGCTACTCCAATTCGCCGGCTGATCTCTTCCTCGAATTTTCCATCACCAGTAAACCCGACCCCGAGGTACAAGAACTTCTCCACCTGCTCCACTGCTTTTTCGTTTATTTGAAGAAAACAACGGGGAGAACGAGAAGGCACTAGGCTTTTCGTTTAAGATACGTTCACACGCATGCCGGTCACGTCGCACTCAGCTGCGAACCTTTCTAAGGAGCACCGCAGATGAGTTTCAGAAGATGCTAATAAACAAGGTCGTCTGCAAACAGCAACCTTCTCGACTTCACATCTCCTACACCGATACCCTCATCGCCTTGGGCAGCGTCTGACTATTCTATCCATGTACAACACAAATAGGAGACGGGACAGAACGCAGACTTAGCGGAGACCAGCGCTAACGCTGAAAGGCTCCCTGAAAGAGGGTCCACTTAACGCCAGTTAATCTGACGCAGTTCCTGTATCAGAATATAGTGCCTGAACGGCCCGTAGCAACTTGTCATCGATCCAATATGTTCGCAGGGAGGACCAGAGATTGATAAGCGGGATCCGGTCGTAGATTTTCTCTAAGTTCACAAAGAACATATAGATCGAAAGAGCGAACTACTACGATTTCTGAACAAGCTCGCGTAGGGCAAATATCTGGTCAGATTTGCTTTGGCGGGACCGGAAGCCACACGGCTTTTCCCGTATCTTGGATTCCATTATTCCGCAGTATCTCCGGTCTAGATCATTTTTGCAGAGTTTACCCGGGAGACTCAATAAGGTAATTCCCCGATAAGTTGAGCACTCCCTGCGGTCTCCCTTCTTGAACGGGTAACAACAACTCCCGTTCATCAGTTTGCTTGTGTCTTCCCCGTAGTCTTTGCAGTTTGACAGACAGGTAAGCCATCACATGCCTTGTTCGCCTAATGCTTTGAGCATTTCAGGGCGGATTTCATCAATTCCAGCAGCCTCTGCACTTTTCAAGCAATTCATTGCCTGTGTAGTTTCATTGAAATAAATAGTAATATCCATTCTATGGTGCTCCACAGGCGAGTCTTCCTGTTAATGAGTTGCTCGGGGTTAAGGAGTTCCTCAAAGCACTTTCTCCATCATCGAAGAATGCCGCTATTCTCGGAAAAATGTGTTCAGTCTTGTCCTTCAAGACTCTTAAACTGTCCTTCTTTTCACCTCAGTGGCAGAGGATGCTCTGCCAGAATACCTTGTTTTCCGTCTGGAAATTCAGTCCCAGAACTATCCTGAACTTATACCAGGAATGAGCTTTGGCTTTCGTCACCGCTTTCGCTGCCGCCTAGCGCGCTTCTATATATCGAATGCGATTTGAAGATTCTTTGCCTCTAAGCCATCTCTTTAATATAGCCTTCTCACTGGTGACAGTTATCACAGGCGTCTCTCCTGACTTCGTTTTCGACCTCCAGGGGACAAACCAACTCGTTTTAAACCACAGCAATCGGAGGCACTCCTGAGTAAACCGCTATTATGGAGCTTCCAGTCGGTAACTACATCTTCGGTCAGCAGTGACATGCGTTCAAACCGTCGTGGGGTGTTGTCTGCAAGTTTTTCCTTCGCATCCGCCAAGGATAATGCTTCCCACCTGACTCTGGTCGTTTCCGATACCATTCTCTCACAGCGTAGTATGACAACCACAACTGGTGATCAGCTGAGAGCACATCGTCTCTCTTTTGCCGAATGTCCATTACAGACTGCCGCATGTCAAACGATGCTATTGCGAAATCGATCATCGACTGCCGTGCAGCTAAATTCCATATACCAGGTATACCGATGCACGCATCGATGCTCGATGAAGGTATTCACAACAGACAGTAAGCTGTTTGCACGACAAATAGCAACGATTCCATGTCGCTATTGCTGAGGTCACTAGGGCTGATTTTTTCCAAAGACGCCTTTCCACCTTTTAGTGTCTACTCGGACATGCGCATTAATAACGCCCACTAAGCCGAAGGATTTCATAGTCGGCACTTCGTACAGAGCACACTGCACTTCCTCAAGGAAGGCATCATATTCTTCCTCGAAACTGAGAGCACAGGCCTGTACCAATGTCAACGCTTTAGCCCGTTTTAGCTTCATTCAGAGGATTACCACCCTTCGAATAGACTTCCGATCAGTGATTCTATCTGCGAACTTAGGTTCTACCAGAATACCAACACCGGCCTGAGCGTGAGTCGTGATATCGACGCCTGAGTAGAACAGCTTCTATTCATTGAAGTTCAGGAGTCCAGAGCCTTGGCGTTTCGTTGATGAGAGTCCAACTACCTCGAGTTGGTTCTACCGAGTTGTAGGTTTCATCAACTAACTCCAGCTCTTTCCCTGTTTGTGAGGACATATTACAATTTCCGACCGTAAGCTCCCACTGGCGCTTAAGTTCTCACGGAGGCATTTCTGACACGCTATAATAGGACCGCACTGTCTCCCTTTTCTGTTCAGAGCAACTAGCGACTACGCCGCTGACTGATATCTTCGTCGTCGTTTAGTCGATCTTCGGCAGCAGATGTTGTGCCCTCTCCTGCCAGAAGGCGATGAACAGATTCTGACCGCCGATATTTCTCAGCTTGCCTCAGTTCCCCAATAGCCTGCGGGGCCATTAGTAACAAGGGCGACGACCGAGCCAGTATAATGTTTCATGATGCAATACCATGAAGGGCAGGCGGCTAAGTTTTAAGGAGACCTAGCCACAGTCGCTAATCGTCTTCCTTTCTCATCCGGGTTTGGAAACGGCAAGTACGGAGTTAGTCTCGCATTAGTACGAGATAAATAATGGAATCGGAAGCAACCGATGCCTAGTAAAGCACTGAACGTCTAGACCGTTACTGCTTGCTTTCGTAATCGCAGTATTCCAATGTTTTTCGCATTATGCGTTATAGTTTAACGTCGTGTGGCAAAACTTCATCTATGGTATCGTCGAATGAAACACCAGTCAACTGAAACATCAACCAAAAAACGGTTCAACCTCTGGAATATAGATCTTGCTAAACTTCCATACTTTCGGGATGATGATCTCAATTTCCATACCATCAGTCAGAAGTGCCTTATTTTTCAAAGGCAAAGTCGGCAACAGCCATGTGGCAAGCACACAGTGATGTATTCTGCTGTTTCTTTCCCAGAGATAAAGAATTCACTGATCAAGCTCGGAAGGAAGAAAGGCGAATGAGCCGACAGGAGATCATCTAAGGCTCTACCGACTGAGCAACTCTAGTTTAATAAAAAGGCTCGGTCTTGCCACCAAGAAATAAGAAGAGGTTGTTAGTGGTTTGCGATTGAGCAAACAGTCATGAGAGAAACGCAAGCAAGTGACGTTTACGAACGATTTCAAGTGCATTCGGGTTCGTAAGGTTTCTACAATGTCCCTCGTCTATTAGACTACTGTTAGATTTTAGTTGCTTAAGTGGCGACTGAACAATTAATGAGCGTCGTTCGCTTCAAGGACGGAAGTGCACATTGGCATAGCAAGCGATGAAAAACAAAGTGTAAGAGTACTAATCACCAAACCACTACAGCCGGCATCAATGCCTTACGTCATATCAACGTATCGGGTACAACGAAAGAATACTGACAATTACTGGTGGTGGGAATTCGAATATGAACGCGGCTACTACTTATACAGGAACATTTGCCATCAAGTGCACGCTGGAGGCAGGAGCCAAACGACGACCAGACGACGGTGACTAGCTAGAAGAATTAACTGCTCAGCGACAGTCATTTAAGAAGCTGCAAACACGATTATATTAAGTCCAATGGAACAACACAACCTATAGGACCGGGTTAAACTATTCCCGTCTGGCAAATCAAACCGTGCGGTAGCTAAATTTTTAAAACGATAAAAGCTCGATCTAGAGTCTTTATAAATCTCAATCACAACATGGTGGAACGAAAAGCGGGGTATTTTGTTTTTGGTTTTGCAGACATACTGAAGTAAAGCACAAACCGATCAATTTATATACAAGTTCAAATGGTTGTTCCATCGAGTGACAAGCTAGAAGTCTCATGAACGCTTTCAGTCTAAGTCTGATGGTTGTTGGCCGATGCAATCTGCGTTTTTTGCCGCATCGAGCCGTTGCTACTGCTGTTAATTAACATTACTAATATTAATTAATTTATTATTCATATAGCACATGGGCACAATCAACTAAATACCTTTAGAGAATATCTGAACTCTATCACAGGGAATATGTAGTATACCCACGAATTAGAAGAGAGATAACTACCCTTCCTGAATGTGAATACACATAAACATGGAATTTTAAGGACCATGACATGCAACAAACTTAACCCTACTGGATGCTACATCAAGACTGATTCCATACTTCGGCATATATAAAAGTAGGGCTAGTTCAAACGCTGTACGAAACTTAAAATTATATGCTGGCTTCACTTTATTCCGGCAAGAGAACGGCAACCAAGTCTACGAACATGAACACCAGCGGTGTCCGAAATCGTTCATCGATGAACAATTCAACGGAGTCAACTGAAAATTGAACACAGCCGGCAAGAAACAATTCTTAAAAACGACTTCGGGAGCATCTTAGTCATCCTCTATCAAAAGAATCTAAGTGAAAGAATGAACTGATTTATGATCAGATAAGAGGTAGAAACGGTCAGCAGATGCCCGCAAAAAATAAGCTGTTTCGTATACAAGAAAAGAATCCTACCAAAACAGGAGAAAGTTTCGATTGTGTACCGCATGAACTGCACCTGTGGTAAAAACGCACACTGGAGTCAACGGGAGAAAACTGAAGAACAGGACATCGGTACATGTGGCTCGTCTCAGACGAGCAGAAAAAAAAACAAACGCGTTGTATGACACAGTATGCTGAAGAGTAACACCATAAAACAGAATACGGGCAGAATCATTCGGGTGGCGGGGAGCCGAGAAAAGACACGAATCTGTTTAGAAGCCGCCACAGTAGATGCCGCCAACATGCACATAGCAAGATGAACGGACAGGATAAAATTTACACGATCAATTCAACATGACTACGCAATGAGAAGTGCTGGCAAACGTTTGCATGTCGACACTCCTGTAACAGTGTTAAAAAACTCTGGTTTACTACCAGTGCCTAAATTTCCTAAAATCTTTCTTTTTAAGACATACCTATTACTGTTGAGAAATAGCAGTCCTGCTGGTATAAGAAAGTCAGTGAGAGGAAGGGATGAGAAAACGCGACGGAAATTCGCGGAAATAAAATTCGTGAATCACGTTCGCTGAACAACAAACCATCGTATGTTCGCTATGGGAAGGGGCGGGAGGTTAGTGCCACCCTTGCGACGCAGCAGCGGCTGTAGCCTGGTTCATCCGCTCATCGGTCATCTGTCGATTCATTCGTCCCATCGTTTTGTAGTCGTTCGACGTCGCAACCTCCTACCGGCCGCTGGAGACTCAGTAAAAAGTTACTGAGGAGATGGTCATTCGGAGATCGTTCCTTTCGCCGTTCGACATCGATGGTTCGAAACAAAATGACCTAAGCGAAACGGCAACTTGGCCATGCAATAACTACAAGACACGTCCACGTCCAACCTACGGAGAGAGGCAACACGTGGCCATCGCAACAGCCGGACTAAAAGACAATTTCGTTGCCGAAACGGATAAACGACGGTGACGGCGAATGGCAGGCACATCACTGCGAACGAACATAAATCAAGGGGCGGACGGTGATGATCGCGATCCAGACGGCGGCCGCAGCAAGCCTGCATCCAGCATATAAACTCTCCGTAGCACTGCCCGCCTGGCAAAGCGAGCGTGATTCATGGACTATGAGAGCTGACAAATTTGCCTGACAGCTAACCTGGCACGCGGCGAGGTTACATCAGGTGCGAGAAGGGGGACATATGCGAGAGGCCAAGCGAGGCGAGAGTCACTGGCAGTAAGTAACGCCATAAAACAATCTCCACTGCCAGCTAGATGCTCAAAGTACGCGACTGCATATGGATGACCGCTGCCTCGGTTCCTAAGTTTCAACGGGTACGGCAATGCCCTCCGTGCACGAACAGACTTGTCAGACAAGAGATGCTCAATTATGCAAACAGATCAAGACGATCAACAAAACGAACGACAATGAAGTCGAAGTCCCTTTTTAAATAAAGTAAGCATGAGTTCCTTGTTCGCATGTTCTACCAAGTCGGTCACTGCTCCGAATTTAAAAGACGTATTCGCATCACTTCTGGCATTTAGAATGGTAAGGGTTTATTCTGGCAGGTTAGAGCATCACGGCATCATAGCGTGCGTAGTCCAAGGATCCAACAGAGTATTACAGTGTTGGGTCTAACGAACGCACATTCGAATACCAACCGTTATGTCTCGGTATTCTAGGTTTACTGACAAACTGCGAGTTTTGAATACAGCCGGTAAGAGTAACAGTGTCGTGTTTCTCCAGGCGTTATTGTACGATGAGACCGTAGCCTGCTTAAAGAGTTCCCTAGGCAGCAGACGTAAGGGAACCACGCGAGCGCGCGGTATCATCCGGAGAATTGATAGGAAACTGTTATTCTGACCGGCCTCGTCGACAAACAGAAATTTGTTATGAACCCGGGCGAATATCGGGGTTAACCTTTATCCATACATGGCTGTTGGGACTCACTGCGGGATGGGGGAATTTAGTATCGTAGACAGATTCGCGTTAAAAGCACAGAAGATGCCACTACTCCTCGGTTATTCAGTGACTAAGAGAACAACTTCAAGGGCACTTCGCCTTGCTGCTTGATCCTTCGTATCTGTCACTGGTCGTAT